ATCTAGAATACAATCTAGAAATAAAGTATACTATGCCCTTCAACATCTGCTAAAGTCAAAGTGATGTCTCGCAACACAAGGATCAACATATATATAAAATGTCGATAAGACCAGTCTTTTTATATAGTTCTGAAACTTGAAGCAGAAAGGAAAGAGATAAAGCCTTATTACAGGTTTCCGAAAACAGTCTTACGACAAATCCTTTGGACCCATCAAAGATGCTAACAGCGGGGAATGGAGCGTGAGAAGCAACAACGTAACACATAATCTGTTTAAATCACCATTGATCACTGGCATCCTGAGAGTTAACAGACTAAAATGGTTGGGGCATATTGAAAGAATGTCAGATGAGAGAGAAGTAAAAACTGTATACACATGAGAGAGGAATGGGCGTACACAACGAGGCAGACAAAAAAAAAAAAGTTCGAGAGATAATGTCCAGCCAGACCTGCAAACAACTGGTGTCACAAATTGTGAAGAGAAGGCCAGTCAAAGAGATGAATGGAGACGAGTGATATCTGCAGCAGTAAACCTCAAGGGCTCAGAATGCTAAACAAGAAGATGTCTAATATGTGCTACTTTATTTGAAGTAAAATTACAGCATACATTTGACATTATGAATGTGTGCGTTTTTTTTTTTTTTTTTTAGATATATTTTATAGACTATACACTATTCGTATTCGTATTCGGCCGAATAGTTGGTCCCGTTATTCGTATTCGGTCGAATAGTGAAAATCACTATTCTGTACAGCCCTACTTTAAACACATGCAGAACAACTTTGTAAAGAGCAAACATGAGATGCCTACATGTCCTCCCCACGTTGTGGCAAGGACAATGAGGGAAGAAGACAAAAAGAAATGTTTATTTTGCGGATTGTTGTTTATCCCAGGTCACGTGAATTATGTAATCAGTTAATTTGTTTCTCCAACAGGTTCCCATGGTTACCTCCATCTTCCGCCGGAAACAAATTCGGCCCACAATTAAACAAAACAAAGATTCGTCAGTGTGATGATCATGGTGGTAATACATTATTAATTTCCAATACGTTTATTGTGACTGCTAAAACGAGGGGGGAATCAGATAGATGTAATCGCCCATGCATTGCAACAGTAGGTGTTTACAGGTTTATCTGCTTGGTTGTGATACAGTACCTCATTTCTCTCAACAACCTTAGAGACAAAAACGAGTATGTTACATAGGTGAATTCTGTGTAAGTGCTATTTATGCAATGTTTTTTTGCAAAACTCGACTTTTTAACTTTGGGAAAAGGACATAATTCTATTGTATCACTTCAATTGTGCTATAAATACGATTTTGGAGACACTATGAGAAGAAATAAACTTAGTTATAACCGGTGAATTTGGTTGAACATGATAGAAGGGAAAAAGAAAGGGACAAAAACGTTGATAGCCTGTCAACATGTCATGGGCGGAACAGGAACACAGAACTAGTCAGTGATTCTGTTTATCCTGTGACATAACAAACCGGTTATACTTATCGACAGGGTACATGTTAATGATAGATACCAGTTTTCTGAGAAATACCGACATTTATGGAATAATAAGTCATAGGAATTACCTGGCAGTCATGAGTTGGTCAAGAGTTAAGTTAAGAGTTTGTCAATAGTTGATCAAGAGTTAAGTTAAGAGTTGGTCAATAGTTAGTCAAGAGTCAGGTCAAGAGACGAAGATTGTGCTTGATCAACTGAAGTGTAGATTTCATATTGCCTCAGTGGTACGCTGCACAAGCCACATGTTGGCCAGAGTTTCTTGACTGTCAAACCGAACGAAAATTCGAAGGATCTTAAAAGCCTTAATATTTAGCGCTGCATGTTTGTGTCAAACAACGGCCACTTAAAGTCACCGTGTAAATTAAATTCCACCATTGCTCATATTATCTAAGCTTATTTAATTATTTATTTAATAAATATAATAAATATGTTTCACTCCATCAACATATTTGGTGGCGTAAAGCTTTGTTTAAAGAGACATATTTAAAATTATAACCGAGAGAGGGGGGAAGGGGGGGGGGCAGTATATTCAAGTAATTATGAACATTATAAACCAAGATGGCTGTGTAGTTCTGAGACTAATGTCGGAACAGTTGACACTGCAGTGACCGACGAGTCATGATTGGGATATCAATGCAACAAGAAAATATCCAGGATGACTCTTAAATTTTTCAAAAACCGGAGAGAATCATCTTGTAAATGCTACTATGATTGAGTTCTCTTGACCGACTGCCACTGTGTGATCATTGACCGTCTCAGGGCCGGCCACAAACTGCCACTGTGTGATCATTGACCGTCTCAGGACCGCCACAAATTACCACTATGTGATCATTGACCGTCTCAGGACTCCACTGGTGATCATTGCCGTCTCAGGGCACAATTACCACTATGTGATCATTGACCGTCTCAGGACCGGCCACAAACTGACACGTCTCAGGACCGGCCACAAACTGCCACTGTGTGATCATTGACCGTCTCAGGACCGGCCACAAACTGCCACTGTGTGATCATTGACCGTCTCAGGGCCGGCCACATACTGCAACTGTGTGATCATTGACCGTCTCAGGTCGGCCACAAACTGCCACTGTGTGATCATTGACTGTGACTGTGGAACTTTGCCACTGTGTGATCAATGACCGTCTCAGGGTCGATCATGTGATCATTGACCGTCTCAGGACGACCACAAAACTGCCAGTCTGTGATCATTGACCGTCTCAGGACCGGCCACAAGCTGGTGATCATGACCGTGGAACTTTGAGTGCCACAAACTGTCTGTGATCATTGACCTTCTCTTGACCGACCTGAAACTGCCAGTCTGTGATCATTGACCGTCTCCATTATCATTGACGGCTAGCTGTGACTGTGGAACTTTGAGTGACAATGTCTGTGATCATTGACTTTCTCTCTACCGACCTAAAACTGCCAGTCTGTGATCATTGACCGTCTCATTACCGGCTAGCTGTGACTGTGGAACTTTGAGTGACAATGTCTGTGATCATTGACCTTCTCTTGACCGACCTGAAACTGCCAGTCTGTGATCATTGACCGTCTCATTACCGGCTAGCTGTGACTGTGGAACTTTGAGTGACAATGTCTGTGATCATTGACCTTCTCTTGACCGACCTAAAACTGCCAGTCTGTGATCATTGACCGTCTCATGACCGGCTAGCTGTGACTGTGGAACTTTCAGTCTTAATGTCTGTGTCATTGTCAGTTTTTCATTGGAAGCTCCTTGAAAGTGAATCAGGAAGAGAAGCAGGGGTCCGAGTTAAAGTGACAGCTGACCTGAACTGCCAGTCTGTGATCATTGACCGTTTCACGACCGGCTAGCTGTGACTGGGGAACTTTCAGTCCTAATGTCTGTTTCATTGTCATTTTCCAGCTGGAAGCCTTTACGAGTTATAGTAAAAGTTAAAAGAAGAATCAGAGAAGATTAAAGTGACAGCTGGGGTCAGAGAAGGTTAAAGTAACAACTGGGACAAAGAAGGTTAAAGCGACAACTGGGACAGAGAAAGGTAAAGTGACAGCTGGGACAGAGAAGGTTAAAGTGACAGCTGGGACAGAGAAGGTTAAAGTAACAGCTGGGGACAGAGAAGGTTAAAGTGACAGCTGGGACAGAGAAGGTTAAAGTGACAGCTGGGACAGAGAATGTTAAAGTGACAGCTGGGACATAGAAGGTTAAAGTAACAGCTGGGACAGAGACGATTAAAGTGACAACTGGGACAAAAAAGGTTAAAGTGACAACTGGGACAGAGAAGGTTAAAGTAACAGCTGGAGTCAGAGAAGATTAAAGTGACAACTGGGACAAAGAAGATTAAAGTGACAACTGGGACAACAAAATTAAAGTGACAGCTGGGACAAAGAAGGTTAAGTGACAGCTGGGACAGAGAAGATTAAAGTGACAACTGGGACAGAGATGGTTAAAGTGACAGCTGGTGTCATAGAAGGTTAAAGCGACAGCTGATACAAAGAAAATTAAAGTGACAGCTGGGTCAGAGATGATTAAAGTGACAACTGGGACAAAGAAGGTTAAAGTGATAGCTGGGGTCAGAGAAAATTAAAGTGACAGCTGGGACAAAGAAGGTTAAAGTGACAACTGGGATAAAGAAGGTTGAAGTGACAGCTGGGAAAGAGAAGATTGAAGTGACAACTGGGACAGAGAAGGTTAAAGTGACAGCTGGGGACAGAGAAAGTTAAAGTGACAGCTGGGACAAAGAAGATTAAAGTGACAACTGGGACAACAAAATTAAAGTGACAGCTGGGACAAAGAAGGTTAAGTGACAGCTGGGACAGAGAAGATTAAAGTGACAACTGGGACAGAGATGGTTAAAGTGACAGCTGGTGTCATAGAAGGTTAAAGCGACAGCTGATACAAAGAAAATTAAAGTGACAGCTGGGGTCAGAGAAGGTTAAAGTGACAGCTGGGACAGAGAAGGTTAAAGTGACAGCTGGGACAAAGAAGGTTAAAGTGACAGCTGGGACAGAGAAGGTTAAAGTGACAGCTGGGAAAGAGAAGGTTAAAGTGACAGCTGGGACAGAGAAGGTTAAAGTGACAGCTGGGGACAGAGAAGGTTAAAGTGACAGCTGGGACAAAAAGACAGAAATAGTTACAGAACATACATTGCATAAAGTCACCATTACGTGTGGGGTAATTCTCTTAGGTGTTGATTCAGGAGGAGAACTGATTGCCCGCATCAGAAGGAGACAATCTACATTATTTGGTCTTGTCAGGAGAAGGCGGAAACTAAGGTACATTGTGAGAAAGTGGAAGGGGAGAAGAGAGAGGCAGAGAGAGAAGATGCTGTGCAGTTTGACATCACAGCAGGGAGGTTAATCTATGTCAGAACTGTTTGAAAGCTCACGAAGCAGAAGGTTGTGGAAGGACATAACGACCAACGCCTCTAGGCAGGGGCGATAAGATGATGAAGAAGCGCAGTCTGGATAGTTTAACAGTTATCTCCCCTGAAAAAGTATACGCTATTTACAGATATGCCAGAAAGCTTCGAAATGGACGAACCTGAAACAATCAATGGTACACTAAATGTAACGTTGGCCGGGTTAACAGACACGAATCTGGGTCTTCTCATGTGGTATTTCATTAACGGAATAGCTGGGACCATCATCGCTGGGTCCGGAATACTAGGCAACATAACCGCAGCCGTTGTTCTGCTTCTGCCCGCTATGAGGAATTCCACTTCGATGCTCCTTGTGGTAATGGCTGTTTATGACATCATCTTTTTGGTGCTTTTCGCCCTACTGCAGACTCTACCTCTGGTGTTTACCGCCAACAATGTCTGCGTGGACTATCTGCCTGTTCGGGTGTTTCTGTTCAAGTATTTCTATTTCGTAGTTCACATATGCCACAACGGAACTATTTACATGACTATGTTGGTCACGCTGGAGAGATCTTTAGTGGTGTTGCTTCCTCTACAAGCCAAACTTCTGTGTACCCAGACTCGGGCTTGCATTGCATCTTTGCTAGTTTTGGTATGGTCCGTGATTTACAGCATCCCTCGATGTTTGGAGTTCGTCCAAGAAACGAACATAAGCATGAAACTTACTGAATACAGTGTGACCAAATCATCCTTTGGGAAGAGTTACTTTTATAATGTTGTGTATCTGGTATATTTAAACAGTATGTTTCATTTTATTATACCGGTCGGCGTCATTATAATTCTTAATGTGGCGATGATGCAGAGACTATGCACCAGAGGTAGAAGAACCATCACCATGGTCAGCTCACGAGGGGACAGCCAAATACGTTTAACAGTCATGATTATCGTTCTTACAGCCATCTTCTGCGTCTGCCGCTTGTTGGCGGTCCTAGAATTAATCCTCTACCCAACAGAACCATCCAGTTCCATTGGGGTGGAGCAGTTCCAAATAACTTGTTCCCTCACCTGTAACGTGGTGGTCGCTGTAGCTGAAACCAGCCCGCTGCTGAACTCAGCCACCAACTTCATTGTCTACAGCATCTTTGGGCGCAAGTTTCGCCGCAGTCTGTACAGTCTGTGCTGTTTCTGGAGCTGTTGCAGAAAGTATTTATGGCCTCAAAGTTTCTTACCCTCGTCCAACGTTCAGTCTGATCAGCTACGAACTATGCATTCTTGAATGTATTTGTTCAGATTGTGTTTAGTTTTAATTGGCTTTGGTAACAATTGACAATGTACATTGATAACCCACACGCGACCAGTCTTTGCACAAAAAGCTTAGGGGAAATTCTTATCTCAGTGCACGAACCTCTCCCGACAAACCAGCAAGGCACTGGTCTAAGTTCACGGAACTCGTATTTTCTGATCTGAGAAAAGAAGCTTGCCAGACTCTGGTGTTTTGTGTTACTTAGATCCAGACTCTAAAGTTTTATGTTACTTAGATCAAGATTCTGATGTTCTATGTTACTAAGATCCGGACTTCGGAGTTCTATGTTACTTAGATCAAGACTCTAAAGTTCTATGTTACTTAGATCAAGACTCTGATGTTCTATGTTACTTAAATCCGGGCTCTGAAGTTCTATGTTACTTAGATCAAGATTCTGATGTTTTATGTTACTTAGATCCGGACTCTAATGTTCTACGTTAACTAGATCCGGACTCTGAAGTTCTATGTTACTTAGATCCTGACTCTGAAGTTCTATGTTACTTAGATCCGGAATCTGGAGTTCTATGTTACTTAGATCCGGACTCTGAAGTTCTAAGTTACTTAGCTCAAGATTCTGATGTTTTATGTTACTTAGATCCGGACTCTGAAGTTCTATGCTAGTTAGATCCAGATTCTGATGCTCTATGTTACTTAGATCAAGATTCTGATGGTCTATGTTACTTAGATCCTAACTCTGATGATCGTTGTTACTTTGATCCAGACTCTCATGTTCTATGTTACTTAGATCTAGACTCTCATGTTCTATATTACTTAGATCTAGACTCTCATGTTCTATGTTACTTAGATCTAGACTCTCATGTTCTATGTTACTTAGATCTAGACTCTCATGTTCTATGTTACTTAGATCTAGACTCTCATGTTCTATGTTACTTGGATCCTAACTCCGATGTTCGTTGTTACTTAGATCCAGACTTCCATGTTCTATGTTACTTAGATCCAGACTCTCTTGTTCTATGTTACTTGGGTCCATGCTTTTTGTTCTTTTTTACTTGGATCCATGGCAACACACAAAAGACTCGACAAATGGATCAAATGTAACGAACAAATATGAAGATCTAACTCACTGGACTTTTTATTGTAAGAATTTTTTTTTTCATTTTTTTCGAGAAATGTCGTTTTAGATACAACAATATTATTTTGTAAATATTTCCTCGTATCTATAAGATGGTGTCTGTCTGTCTGTCTGTCTGTCTGTCTGTCTGTCTGTCTGTCTGTCTGTCTGTCTGTCTGCCTGTCTGTTTGTCTGCCTGCATATATGTATGTATGTATGCATGCATGCATGTATGTATGTATGTATGTATGTATGTATTGTATGTATGTATGTATGTATGTATGTATGTATGTATGTATGTATGTATGTATGTATGTATGTATGTATGTATGTATGTATGTATGTAGGTATGTATGTATGTATGTATGTATGTATGTTGTATGTATGTATGTATGTATGTATGTATGTATGTATGTATGTATGTATGTATGTATGTATGTATGTATGTATGTATGTATGTATGTATGTATGTATGTAGTATGTATGTATGTATGTATGTATGTATGTATGTATGTATGTATGTATGTATGTATGTATGTATGTATGTATGTATGTATGTATGTATGTGTATGTATGTATGTATGTATGTATGTATGTATGTATGTATGTATGTATGTATGTATGTATGTATGTATGTATGTATGTATGTATGTATGTATGTATGTATGTATGTATGTATGTATGTATGTATGTATGTATGTATGTATGTGTATGTATGTATGTATGTATGTATGTATGTATGTATGTATGTATGTATGTATGTATGTATGTATGTATGTATGTATGTATGTATGTATGTATGTATGTATGTATGTATGATGTATGTATGTATGTATGTATGTATGTATGTATGTATGTATGTATGTATGTATGTATGTATGTATGTATGCATGTATGTATGTATGTATGTATGTATGTATGTATGTATGATGTATGTATGTATGTATGTATGTATGTATGTGTATGTATGTATGTATGTATGTATGTATGTATGTATGTATGTATGTATGTAGTATGTATGTGTATGTATGTTATGTATGTATTGTATGTCATGTATGTATGTATGTATGTATGTAGTATGTATGTATGTATGTATGTATGTATGTATGTATGTAGTATGTATGTATGTATGTATGTATGTATGTATGTATGTATGTATGTATATGTATGTATGTATGTATGTATGTATGTATGTATGGATGTATGTATGTATGT